GTGGGTGTGGAGAACATCTGGTCAAGCAGAAATCTCTTCTCTTTTTATGAAGAAGTCCTGGGAGCTAGATTTTTTCCTTCATTTCCTCCTCCCTCTAATCCCCCTGTTCTCTTTAAATTCCATAAAATTTTTATTGCCAGACCACTATATAATGTCTAACTAGTACAAAAAAGATACATAAAAGATATAAAAGAACACATCTCTGTGTTCTCATCTCTGGCTAAGAGCTTTGTAAAAGCAAACCTATCAGCTATCTACCCTTCCTCTATTTATGTTTAACAACACATCTTAATTAGCAAAGGGAAGTGTTTGATAACTGTTTCTGTAATACCATCAATATATATCCTTTCATTATGTATGTCTCCGATAGGAAAGAAATGTCTCAATTCAGTTGACTTCCCAGCAAATTCAGTTTGTTCCACCACACTCAATTCAGATTGCCATCCTCAGACAAGCAGCAGAAGGTAGCATTTGTGAGGAATCCAGTAGAATTTGTTCTTTGTAAGCCTGCACATTGGTGTAAGAGTCTAAAGAGCTGGAAAACATCTGAAATGCTCATGTCTAGCCCCAAACCAGAAGGAGATCTCCAGGAAATTTTCATTAAACTACAGTTTACAGATAGTTTACAGATAGTTGGCAAATAACTTTTTGATTTTATTCATTGCCTTTGAGAAAGCAGTGATTTGTGAAGTAACTTTTCTATTGAGTATTATATCAACTGACTTGTAAATCTGAGTATTCTTCCTCTGAAAAACAAGAACATATTTAGGAAATTCTACTTTCTCTTTATTTCAGAAGTTTATTGTACATAAAATTTTAAGGTTGGCAAAAAGAAGAGCAGAGATACCAAAATTAAGGGATGCTTTGTAAATCAGGATTTAGCCCTCAACCCAAAATGAGCTATGTATCTCTAGATTTCTGTGAAGGTTTTTAATTTGATTTTTTTTTTGTTTTCTTTTTGTTTTTTCCCTTGTTTGTTTGTTTTGGTTTGGTTTTTGTTGGTTTTTGTTTGTTTTGTTTTTGCTTTTTGTTTTGTTTGTTGGTTTTGTCTGAAAAAGGAAAAGCGTTGTGAAGTAACACAAGTTTTAAAATGTCATTATAAGGGAAGCTCACATTTTTGACAGTTGTATTTTGGGTGCTATAACCACATGTACTACAAGGCATTACACTAAAAAGTTCCATAAAGTGACCATGAAGCTGAAAGTAGAACTACGTCAACCACAACTCTTATTTCCCAGCTCTATTTCCCAAGTTTTGTCCCTGTAGCAAACTCAGCCACCACAAAAACGTACCAAAAGATATGAATTCAGCTAAGGCACCAGAGAAAAGAGCTGCATATGAAGAAGGTGGGAGGATGAATTGGAAGGGGAAATAAAGTACATTCTTTTTGTGCTTCCATAATATGGGAGGACTTGGGATTTGCTGAAGCACAGTGCCTCTCAGTTGTTTCTATTCTGCTTTCTATTGTTTAGAATTGACTGTAGAGATTCAGTACATGACTTTTGCCTCTCCCTCTCCTCCCACTAAAACTGAATAAACAGGAAAAAATTGCAAAGCCTCTAGAATAAACAGTACATGTAAATATGAAAATTCAGATTTGGTACAGCTTTATAAACATTGCTGCTTTGCATATTTAACACTTGGTCTTGTTCAAGTAAAACAGTTCCATCAATAGTACTAAAGTTTAGGATGTAAATGTAATTCAGCTGTTAGCTATAGGTGCATATTGGAGTTTTTAGCGATAGGTGCATGTTGAGGTTTTTAGTTTTGGTATTTTTTTCTTTTTAAATTTCTAATCTGGCTTTCCAGATACATTGGTATCCATCTTGTGATTGCCAAGTACAGCTCTGAACCAAATTCTGTCATTCATGTAGCTGTATTTTCATGTAGTGCCTGTTGGTTAAGGCAGTGCAAACTTCTATGTTTTTAGCAGAAGCTGTTAGACTGACCTGACCTCTTACACGTCACTGGCTCTCTCTTTGCAAAGGTGATCCAGGTACATCTTTGTTGGTGTTAGTTTTTCATTTACAGTGCTTTTGGTCAAAGTACCTTGATGCTGCATCAATCTTGATTAATGCTATTTAAAAATATATACTAAGTTCAATGACTGTGTATTTAAAAAAAGGGTGATTTCTTCTATTTTGTGACATTGGAGATAACTCCTTGGATTAACAGGACTTCAAAATGGTGCATCACAGCTTGTGTAACATTATACAAGAAAGAAGGGAAAATTGGTCTTGCTGATTGTGAGAATAAAAATTCAGCTTGATAAAAATGCTCTTGCCACAGTCTGAAATAAAAGTTGCACTGGTATTAGTGTGTGAGAGGTGCACAACTCTGGTGAAGGAAAAGCTTGTTCTCTTTCATTCCTCCCATCCCCTTTGCCCCATTTTACTTATGTTCTCTCAGCATTTCCTATGCATTTTTGTTTCAGTTTTGAAAGCAGCAAGCTATAAGAGCTCACCCCAGCTGAAAAAGATACACATATAGTGTGAAAGGAAGAAAGGAAGAAGGCCTCTTCTTCCTGCTAGACCTAATCTGACACATGCTGCCAGACAACCCCAAGGATTTTTGGACTTTATCACCTACAAACAGTTATTAAAACCAAAATTTACAAAAAAGTAACAGCAAGTTTTCCTGCAATAGTCTGGGGGAAAACCAAACTGAACCAAAAAATCAATCTGAAACAAAACCTCAAAAACACCAAGAAAAAACCCGATAAAAAACCCACTGAAACCAAACATGTAGGTTATTGGGCTTGATTAATTCCCCCTTTGTAGATGGGCCCGTGAAGATAGGGAAATCTGTAATTCAGTCCTGGACAACCTGCGACCTCTTTTGGTCAATTAACAAAATGAGCACAAGGACAAAAGAATACTGAAAAGCCTTGGTAGTCATCCGTCGGGAAGTTAAGCAAGGCCGATCTCTCTTCTAAAGCATCTTTAATTTCCCAAAGAAAAGTGTGTACTCTTACACCACCTTATTCACAAATAAAACCAGATGTTTGTATCCTGCTATGTATGATGCTTCTTTCAAGACATTATTTGCAAGGCGTAAGTACTGAACTAAAAATAGAGAAAACTGAATGGGTGATTCTAATTATCTAAAAAATATGACTTGTAAAAAGTGCAGTTTTCAAGATTAACAGTATCATGACCAGTACCTTGAGCAATAACATGTATACTTCTCCCTTCCACTTGAATTTTGACACATTTGAACAGCTGATGACTTACTGGAAGATGAGCTTCAGTGTTAATGATGAAGGGGTTGAAAGTAGAACAGTAGTCTGTCTCATCATCCCCACGGCAGAACATATTTGTATAAGCCAGTATCTGTGAGAACTGCTATCTTTATCTTTCATGAGGAGCAAACTTGTCTGACTGAAACACCATATATTTGTCTATATATACAGCTCACCATCCTCTTTCTCATTAGAGTGCAGTAGAGCTTCAGAAAGAATGGTCACAGAATTTGGCGCTGCCAATTCAGATTTTCTCAATCGAAGTTAAACCAAGTTAACAGGGGGAGCAAAATATGCCTAGTGAAATGGGAAGAGAATTTGCAGTGGCCTGAAGACAAATAGGTGCATTGTGCAAAATCCACGTAGAATTTCGGTGTTGGGAGTTTGGGGGGGATGGATTGTTTGTCTTTTTTATACTGGATTTGTAAGGACATTGGAATGGAAACCGTTTTCTTATATATGGAAGGAAAAAGTTTTAAGAGTACAGAGAACACTTAAAAAAAAAAAAAAAAAAAAAAAAAGTTAAGGCACATCCACGAAGATGGGGCAAGATACGGACCGAGTCCTGGGCCAGAGAGCAACATCTTGGCAGAGGTGGGTGTGGTCGTGCGCATACATTTCCCCCCAGTGTTCCTTGGAAACGCAGCTGTCATGTGAGCTGGCAGCCGCTCTCCAGGTATGCCCCGAAACCTGCGGGCGGTCGGGCGTGTGCGAGCGCGGCACATGCGCACCTTGGCCAGGGTCCGGGCTCTCAGCCCCGAAGTGGACGGGATTGTAGCTGGGAGTCCAAAAAAGGGCACTCTCCGCGAGTTTCTCTCGCCTCTCTCGGTGCCAAGGAAACACACACGGTCACGGGGAAGCGAACACGCACAGAGAGAACACTTTTTCTTGAAACTAGAGACACACGACGTGGCCCTCTCGCCGGAGCCCTACCCCTCACAGCTGATTTCTAAGAAGTGCCCATAAACCCCCGGCAGCGCCGCGTCCCCCCCCCCCCCCCCCCGGCCCCGCCCCCCCCCCCCCCCCCCGTCCCCGGCACCGCACCGCACCGCCCTCACAGCCCTGCGTGACCGAAGGCTGGATCCGGCGAGGGCCGGCGCTCCCTGCCGCGCCGCGCCGCGCGTTATTCATGGCGCGGGGCGGGCCGGCGGCCGCCGCACTATATAGGGCGGACGGACGGCACGGGGGACAGCTGGGTGCGGAGTGGCGGGGAGTGGAGCGGGGCAGAGCGGCTGGCAGGCAGCACGGGGAATAAAACGAAGGGAGCCTCGCTTTTTTTCTTTCCCCCCATCTATATTTTTTCCTTCTCGGTACTTTCTCCTTCTTTTCCGAAACGTTTTTGGACTAAGTTTTCTTCAGACCGTCTGGGCTTGGCTTTTTTTTATTTTTTCACTTTTGCAAAGGTTTTATATTTATTTTTTTTTTTTTTTCCTGAGTGTTGTGTGTAGCAAAAAAAGAGAAAAATTTCTGTCGAGCCAAGTAACCCAGGCGCTCTGCAGGGAGGAGGGGGAAGAAGAGAAGGAAAAAGTTGCCTTTGTTGCTAGCGAGCTTTTGCTGCCTTGATGTGACTGCGGGCAAGCGACTGCAAAGAGGGCCGGCGTGCGAGTGTCGGCAGCGCGGCTCCCCGCCTCCTCACGCCGGCAGGCTCCGCTGCCCGCAGCCCCCTCGGAGGCGGCCGGGGCTGCGCCGCTCCGCTCCCTCCGCCCGCGGCGGCGGCGTGTGAGCGCCCGCGCAGGACTCTGCCCGGCCGGGGTGCGCGGGGGCGGCTCCCGGCGGCCCCTCCGTCGGTTGCCATGGTGCCGCGGCCCGGCGTGCTGTGGGCAGTGGCGGCGGCGGCGCTGGCGCTGCTGGTCCGGCGGGCGGCGGCGGCGCTGGCGGGGCCGGTGGTCCGCTGCGAGCCTTGCGACGCTCGGGCGCTGCAGCAGTGCAAGCCCCTGCAGCCCGACTGCCCCGAACGGGTGCGGGAGCCGGGCTGCGGCTGCTGCCTCACCTGCGCCCTCCGCCCGGGGCAGCCCTGCGGCATCTACACGGAGCGCTGCGGCGCCGGGCTCAGCTGCCAGCCGCGGCGGGAAGAGGCGCGGCCGCTGCAGGCGCTGCTCGAGGGCCGCGGGCTCTGCACCAACGCTACGGCGGGCGGCAGGCTGCGGGCCTTCCTGCTGCCGGGACCGCACGCTGCAGGTAAGGGGCTGCGGCCGGGCTGGGAGGCGAAGGGGTGGCTTTCCTGCGCGCCGCTCTCCATCCTCGCTGCTTTCTTGTTGGGCTGGGTTTTGTTGGGGTTTTTTTTTATTATTATTATTTTTTTTATTTTATTTTTTTTGTGTGTGTCGCTTTCTTTTGTTTTAAGTTACAAAGGGAGCAGCGCGAGCGGGGAGGCATGGGCGAGCTCACGGCAGAGCTCCGTCTCCGGAAACGGCCCTCGCTCGCTGTCCGCCCGCTGCAGGCCCGTGTGCGGGGGGCTCTGCCGGTAGCCACGTAGCCGAGCCTGGGATCGTTTTGAAGGAGGTGTGCTTTGACTGAAGGAAAGGACAATTAACCTCTTCCCCCTTATTTATGTGTACACAGGTTTTCTTCAACACCGATGCTGAGTAGTAGCTCCTCGCAAAAGAGGCAGAGCTGCTTTATTAAAAAAAAAAAAAAAAAAAAAAAAAAAAAAAGTAAAAGGGAGGGGGGAGTGGGGGAGGGATTGCATGTGGCTTCTGCGGGTGCATGGGACTGGCAGGCTACAGAGCCTGGATGGAGGGAGAGAGCGGGTGTAATCCTCGCCGTTTGTCCCCGGTGTACCTGGAAAGAGAGCGAGCAAAAAACTCGAGAGAGTGGGGTCTAACTTCTGCACTGCAGCGTGGGTAAGTCAGGGAAGTCTGAGCACAGAGAAGAAAAGACAAATTTAAATATCCCTTTGGCCTGCAAAAGTGGTTATTCAGAACAAAGCATTGGTACAACTGTGTTTAAGAGGACGTTGTTTTTTGTCTGTACTGCAAAGAAATCCTCGGTCAAAAGAAGATTTCCTGTACCTCTTCCATGTCTTGTAGTGAGATACCCACAGAATGGGTTTTATTAGAAAAGGAAGGGATGGTTGGAAAAAGTTCTGTTAGCATGCACATTTTAAAACTTAAGACAGGGAAACCTGGGATTCAGATCGAGAGAGCACAGTCCCTTTATGCAAGCATTTAATTAAACTGTTTGCTAACCATCAGCAAGTATGTTAACATTTATTTAATAGAAAAGTGTGTCAAAAGGCTTTCCACTGTTTGCATTTTTAAAAAGCCCGAAGATTTTCTGCCAGGTTGTAGGGACTCTTCGACTAGCCATTCCTTAGCTGAGAAAGTGGCACCAGTGCTCCAGTTAACTGCCTGTTGGAATAATAGGAGATGCCTTATTTATAATAATGATTTATGTGCTGCTTCCAAGCTGTGACAATTTGAATGAGGGTTTGGCGGTATTATCTGAAGTTTTTAATCTCCTTGGAACATCGAGTAGCTTCCTTCATCACATGCGCTTGGCTCATCCTGTTCATCCTTGGAATAGCACTGGAAACAAGAAGTGTCTCCTCAGTACTTGGGAGCTGGTACCCTTTAATCTAGGGGTAGTGCTTTCAACAGTGACTGTTAGAGAAGGAGAAAGGGAAAGACAAGTTGTATAGCTGAAAATCTTTCCATTTTCAGCTGAATTCTTATTTCTGCATTCTTGTCTGAGGGAGAACTCCCATTTTGAAATCTGTAGGAACTTTTGATTCCTTAAAAGGTGCATAGTAGGATCCTTACAGTTCACATTAAAGAGTGAAACTTGCAAACCTGATGTGCAAGAAGGGAGAAGTGCCCAGAACCTATGATGCATAGTGCCCAGTTCCTCATGAGGACCACTCCACTGCTAGCTTTCAAGCCAGCACTCCCTGGGATACACTTCTCTGAGCAGGATCACATCATCTCCTTTATATGCAGATAGGTCCTGCATCACGTGCTATTCTGTTGGTCCTTCCTAGTTCACAGAAATTGCTAGACGTTGGTATAGACCAGAGTGTATTACAGTAGCATCATAACAAAAACTGTAGTAGGCCACTGACTTTCCAGTTGGTTTTTTTGGGCACAAAAGCATTAAATAGTAATGTGTGCATTTGTAACCCTTTTAATCTCAAAAAAAAAAAAAATGGAGAATGGGTAACTCTCATTACTTGCAGTTCTGTTTCTCTTAATAGGATGTAAATCTAGCATGACACCAAGTTTTGTGAAAAGGAGTTAATTAAACATGCTTTACAGTTTAAGATGTGGCAATATGACCATTTAAATCTGAAGTGTAAGAAGTGCTACTGAACTATGGTGGCCTCTCTAAAATTAAATGACCAGACATGGTCATGGATACTCAGTGCATGTTAAGAATATTTTCTACTTATTTTTTGGTAGAAGAGAAAAACTAATGAACTGGACTGATTGCAGAAAATGTAGATTCAGGTTTATAACCTTTTAATGACCAATTTCTTGCAAATTTCATTGAGAATATGGAGGAAAAATACTACTGTTTCAGAACAGGACATTAAACCCCCAAAAATATGTTCAAATACTGCTGAGAGTCTGACTTAAACCCACAAAAGCCAGGAAATTTGGATTTAAGACTTCCTTAATCCATTTGCACTGTGATTTGGATTTTCCTGGTCAATTATGTCCACTGCCAGCAGTGGCTGCACTAAAACCACCAGTACCAGAATGTTAACTCAGAACCCTCTTCCTCTTCCCCCATGCCTGTGTATTGGCAGCGCCACTGTACTCCCTGTGTTGAAATATTTAGCATCGACAAACTATGTGAACATGGACTTTTAGTACTGAATTTCTCAGCTTTTGTGATTTTTTTTTATTTTCTTTTAGTGAGTCATCGAGTATGATTTTAGTATGGGATGTTATCGTTGTGCAGTCTCAATAGAATTTCCTTAAAAAAAAAAAAAAAAAGAAGCCAGGAGCTGAGATGGCAAGAAGTGGGGCTCAGTTATTACTTAGCTGTTAGGAATACCTTAACTGGAAAAATTCCCTGGAGGAAATGCAAGTAGTTACAGTTGCACTGCAGGAATCTCCTAACTTCTCTCTTCTAAGAGAGAAATGCAGCGTAGACAAGTACCTTAGAAGGTACAGGAACACTGAACTTATGGAGTATGTTAGGAAAATGTGCTTCTCCTGACTTTTTGTGGATGGTAGTTTAAAGCGAAAATATTTTTGAAGCTCAAGAGGAAAAGTGTTTGTCGTTGGAACCACTACAGAATGAATGGTGGTTTTTGTCCATTACTTTTAAAATGTTTTTTGTACACCAAGAAATGTTCTTTACTTTAATAGCAGAGAAATGAAAGTGTGCTGTTCTTTTTCTGTTCCATTCACTGTGTTGAATTTGAATAAAGTTAAGGGAAAAAAAAAAATAAATGGCTAATTAGAACCAGGGAACTCAGCGAGCGAGAGTTGATAAGGGGAAAAAAAGAAAAAAAAAGAAAAAGGAAAAAATTATGGCCCTGGGGCAGGAAGAGCCACACTGCAGCCCATAAGTGCCCGAAGCCGGTCGCGTTTATCTGGGGTTGATGAAGTCAGCAGTGGCGGAGGGGAGGCATCCTCGCCCCGGCGCCGGTGGGGGCTGCGGCGGGCACGCTCCTGCGGTGCCGGCCTGCCCCCTGCCGCCGGCGGGCGGCTCTGCAGCGGGCATGGGGGCGAGTGGCCACCGCGGCCCTGGCTCCCGGGGCCGCGCTGGGAATGCTTCAGTCACAAAGCTCATCGCTTGGCAACAAAGGTGCTGACACGTGCAGAATGCTACAGAGTTCATATTTTTGTATATTGCTTTGTGTACTGCTATATATTTTTGTAAAAAGGAAAATTAAACACATAAACTAATCTAGTGGCTTGTTGCTTGAGGGGAGACCTCATCATGCTCTACAGCTTTCTTACAATAGGAAGCAGAAGGGGAGGCAATGACTCTTCTCGCTTGTGACCAGTAATAGGATCTGAGGGAATGAAGCTGTATCGGGGGAGGTAGAGGTTAAATATTAAGAAAAGGTTCTTCACTCAGAGGAAGGGCGGGCTCCGCAGGGAAGTGATCTCAGTAGCAAGACTGACAGAGTTCAAGAAATGTTTGAACAGTGCTGTCAGGCATGTGGTTTGATTCTTAGTGCTGTCTTGTGCAGGGCCAGGAGCTGGACTTGAGGAGCCTTGTGGATCCCTTCCAACTCAGGATATTCTATGTTTCTATGCCCTTACAGACATAGCTGGCAGCCAAGTAACATCGTTTCTTCTGCATTTGTTCTTTACACAGGAAATTTCAGTGATTCAGAAGAAGACAGGAGTACCAGCAGCGTAGAAAATCAGGCCATTCCAAACTCTCACAGAGTGCCAGATTCCAAGTCACATCCACCACACATCAAAATAGATATCATCAGGAAAGTGCAAGCCAAAGATACACAACGCTATAAAGTCGAATATGATTCGCAGAGTACGGATACATTGAATTTCTCTTCTGAATCCAAACAAGAGACTGAATATGTAAGTATTTCTGTAAATAGGAAGGCATTTGCCAGCATATGAATGTGTGCATATGTGTATATATGTGTGTATGTATGTATATATATATATATATATATATATATATGTTGTGCATATGACAAGATAAATAATTACAGTAAATGGCTGAAGACTGGAAATTGTTGCAGCCTTTTAGGACATTCTGGCATTTTAACTGGTAAATCTATTGACTCTGCAAATGCATACACAGTCAGCAGAGCAAGATGATTTTGTTCAGGAAGCACTTAGGACTAATATAGTGATGTTTACATCAAATACAAGCATGACCTTCACTAAATTTTCTTAGAAGTTGAACGTTCTTGTTCCTCCCTGTGTCACACGTTTGTGTGAGTGGACTTGGGAGAGGTTTAATAGTGTCATCATTAAATTTGGTTGCAAACAGTGTAATTGAGTTGCAGTAATGGAAAAAAGATGTTTCATGTTGAATGTAGTGGCACTGTGTTCATACACTGCCTGGTGCAAATCAAGAGAGATAAGTTTAGGCTGAGCTGAGGATTAGGATCTTGACTAGACAGTCACTGTATGACATGCTGAGCACTTCCACTTGCAGTTGCTGTTTGGTGCTGTTGCCTAAATGCAAAGTCTCATGAGTCATGTGATCTATCATTGCATCTTATTGCCTGTGCCCCGTGAATTTGCAGGGCAGTTGGAGTGTTGTTAATCTGAGGGCAAGAATAATTCTCTTTCTGGACATCCAACCTGTGCCTTAGGCCAGATAGCTTGAAAAATGCATCTGAATATACTTTCATATCAAAACAGGCATGGTGAAAGCAGACATGGCTTCTCATCTTCAAAAGAGGGTTTTGAAATTTGTATGAGGTGAAAACCTCTTCCTGAAGAGAGTGTGGCTTCCAAGAGAAGCTTCTTTTTTAGTTTGTCACTGATGTCCACCCATCTAGTCATATCACTTCAGTATCTGCCTTCCAGTGTGTCCTCCTCCCAAAAATGTGAAGCAAAACTGCCATCACTAAGAGAATGAAGGCTGGTCGCTCTGAGGAAATAGATTCTTAACTAAAACGAGTAGTGATTGGGTTCATGAGCAAAGGTATACCAGTTTACCAAGGCTGCTGTGTCTTTAAGAACCTGGAATAAGTCCATCAGGGACAGGTGCCTTTGTCAGCAAATGTTCTAGTTCTAGCTGTGTCTGCATCTTAGCTTTTGATACTAGTCTGGCTGACTTTGGAAGATTCCTTCAAAATAAAAATTTTGAAAAATCTTTTTGCACGCCTAATGTGGGACCAAATCTCTGAATGTCTGTCATTTGCACTAAGTGCATTTGAGCAGTAAGAGAAGCCATTTAAAGCCTGTGTTTATAACTTGTAAGATCGGTACAGGAAGAAAATGTGAAGGCAACAAGGAAGGTCTTTACTGACCAAAAAACTCCCATTTTAATCTCCAGTAGTACTTTGGAGATTGTATGCTTTCAGACACTCACATTAAAGGTCATTTACATGAGCAAACTATTAATACTACCACTTGAAAGTATAACTGTCATTACTTCACTAATTAAAAACAGCACCAAATGAGTCTTTGTGCCAGTGCAGCAACTTAAATGTTTTTAAACCATGAAACCATGCAGAGAATTTTTTTTTATGTCTGCTGAAGAGAAGGGCTGGTGGTGCAAGTCAGTGATATACCCAGATAGCAGTGTAGCTAAGCACAGTTTGTAGGCTGTGCCACTTGAATCCTGATCCAACTGCTGACACTGACTGCCTTCTTGGCCTCTGGCAAAGTGTGAAGTCCTCTGCTCTTGATTTTCTGAATGCAAAGTGAGGCTCATAATGCTTTACTCCCTACCCTGAAGGGCTGCCTTGAGATATAATTAGTTGGTGTTTGAGACACATTGTTTGACCAATGCTCTTAGAACTGCTTCTTGGAAGCTCTTTTTGGGTCATTGTCCTAGAGCTAATCCTCACTACCTTGTTGTCAGCCTTTTGCAGATGAAGAAAGTGAGGAAAAAAGTGACATACTTATCTAATGAGACTGTTGTGTGCAACTGGTCCTCTGTATGACTGCATTTATTTGTTTCAGTTGAAATTGGGAATTGTTGTCCAAAGTTGAGCTATTTTATATATACATTATGCCAAACCACTTATTTTCACTTGAATCAATTGCATTTAAGCTTTCAAATCCAGCAGAATCACAAAAAATCAAATGTCATTGGGAAAGGCCTATCCAGTCATGTACTTCCAGTGCCTACTTTCTTCTTTTCCCACTAGGTGCAAGGCCAGCTTTTCCAAACTTAAGCTATGCTATATGTGACTGATTTACATACTGGTTAAGCCTTCCCAAAGGTATATGTGACTGTGATTTCAACTGGAAATGCCAATATGTCCCGCAGCATAGTGCAGGGCCTTCAATCCTTAGAAATCAATTTATCTTGAATAGAGCAGAAAGTCAGATTTTTTTTGTTTTTAATTTTTTTTAGTGAATAATCTGATTTTGATATATTCAGCCATCTCTTTGCTTTAATGGATTTGTTTGTATTTGGGCTTTTTTGACCTTTAAAGATTTATTAACTCTTGAGTGAAAGATGGAATTTGGGAACGAAGTTTCATGTGTATTTTAAAATGTGCTTGTTAACAGGGTCCATGTCGTAGAGAAATGGAAGACACTTTAAACCACCTAAAGATCTTGAATGTCTTGAGTCCCAGGGGATTTCATATTCCAAATTGTGACAAGAAGGGATTCTACAAGAAAAAGCAAGTAAGTACAGAGTTTTGATCATTTCAGTGAATGCATTTCACCTTTTCTGCATCTTTGTTGAAGGATCTTGATATCAAGGTGCATTATATATCATTTTGCAGAGGAACTAGTTAATTTCCTGTTTTAAGACCTGATCCAATAGTGCTGAACCTTGTCAAGTGGGGTTAGTATTTTTATTTTCTGTTGATCATGACAACAGATTGATTTGAGAAACTTCATACCTAATCACACATGGGTTGACTGGTGTCCTAGATACTAATGCCCTTTGGTTTAAAATAAGCAGTGCCTCTACAATAACCCACAGAGCTAATGTTGCAGTCACCATATGACTGCAATAGATCAATGCTTTGAATTGTAAATAGCTGCTTGAGAGTTCCTAGAAGAACTACACTGGATCATATTACATAAAGCAACTTGAGAAAGGTATGTATCTGTCCTTTATGTGCTACACAGATCACTTCCAAAATCCAAGTCATGTTATCATGAAAGTGATACTTCTAGTAGTTAGTCTGAAGCAAGGATGGTTTCTCAGCCCTTCCTGGTTGTGAGGTTTTGACCTTTCTTGACAAATGCTGACCAAAACAGGGTATTTATGCTTTAGTTGTGTTGGATTGAACTACAGCAGTGTTCTCCATTCAGTGCTGCCATTGAAGCTCATTAAGAACTTGGGGAAGTACAAGATGTGTCAGGTTCTTTGTTTAGTGTGCACATCCCATCCAAGTTTAGTTAGTGGCCTGCCTCCAAATATGCATTTCTTGGTATAATTTCAAAATTTCCTGAATTCAAAGGTCTCTCTAAGACTTTTCCCAAGGACAGATTTTGTTTGTGGACCATCATGTCTTTCCCTTTGGGTTTACACGAATCCACCTCTCTGTCTCTGGTAACCGAAGGAGTGGCTGACTCTGTTGCTAGCTAATGCAGTTCATAGGTTGGAAGTGAGCAGTCAATTGGCTCTGACTAGGCAACCTTATTTTAGGAATGGTACCTCTCCATTTTTTGGCTTTCAGCTTTCTTAGAAACAGTCTTTCCCTTTCTAGTATTCCCTGGAGCTCTGCAATAAGCTGTCAGTGTCAGATGGGGGCATTTATAACAGGGGCGAGATTTCCAGCCTTCCTTTCTGCCATCAGTCCAGCATTGACAGTGCTGTTTGACCTTTGGTACATGCTGCTGAGCTTTTCTATGCTTCCCAGCTTTTCCTGAGCAGATGGTGGCAACTCCCAAGCAGGGGAAGTTTCTTTTTGTTGCCTGGAGCTTTGAGAAACCTGCATCAGCCACGTTGTGCTTCTAACTCTAGCAGAGAGCAATGCTCACATCTCTGTCTGCTTGTTTTCAGAAAATGCATTGGACTGCTATGCAGAGTGAGACCAGGACTGTGTTTTGTGCCTCTGTCATAAAAGTATTTTCTTAGCTGTTCTAGAACAGCACAACATTTGACTGTGTTCAAGGCACTCAAGTGTGCCGTAGCCCTTTTCCTTCTCTATGTATTATAGAAGACTGCAGACGGGTATTTACTTTGTTCAGTAGATCTTCCTTTCATCTTTCTTTAGACTCTGAGGTTTTTGCTTTGTCTGCAAAAATGTGGTGGTTTGCAAGTAATCTCTGGCATTGTGGGTAGTAAATCAGATCCTCACTAAGCACGTATTAAAGTGGCTTACTTGAAAGGAGGACTGTACTTTAAAATACAGTCATAGTTCTATCACCAAGGCAAAGAAAAGGAAATACAAAGAAAAAAAAATACGGAAGACAGATAATAGTCTTACCTAGTATTTGTTCCTAGAAGCTGATTTACGAGAATAAGGTGTTGGTACAAAGCAAATAGAGACTTTTGTCCTCTGTGTGTTGTCTGTGCTGCCTGGAAACTCTTAAAACTTCTTCAGGAAAGGTTCTTGCACTATTTGCAATAGCCCATCCGGTCAGCGTTTATAGACAATGAAGGGACACTTTCATACCTAACCAGCCTTGTCAAGCACTGTGCCAATTTACACAGGTTCCAGTAGTCATAATGGTAGTTTGAGATGACTCAGGGTCTTGCAGGAGATGCCCACAGATGGAGCCCACATGAATAAACATTCTACATGAAATTCACTTGGGTTGCTGATTCTGTAAATGAGCCTTGATCAGCCCTGGGAACAATCCCTCAGTGAAGGGACTTAGAGAGGCAGCCTGCTTCTCTCACCAACAAAATACAAACCAAAAATAATACTTGCCCTCATAGAATTAACTCCTAGGAAAAAAACATCAGTTTGAGGAGGGAGTGAGTACTGTCCAGATGAAATTAACTCTTTGTAAGTAATTGTGACAATTGTGTTTGTTTGGTTTTCTTTTTGAAGCATCAGTATCTGTTATTTTAGATACTGTGAGCAGTGTCTAATCTCATTAACAGAATTCTATGCTGTTTTATTAATTCCCTTCATGCCATTATTAGCCATGTTCAGTCTGTAATTGAATTATATTCTATTGTCACAAAATTCAGAATAATAGGTTAGGAAGTAGAGAGTAAAGCCATGAAAAAATGAATGCAAGCTAGGTATTTTGAATTATAGAAACAGTTGTCAAAACCATGGTCTAGGATGAGGATGTAGTAGTTTTGGGATAGTAGGAATCTGATAAATTATGATCACGCTGGCACCATTAAAACTCTTTTAGGAGGCACTCACTGTTTCTCACATATTCTGCCTTCCTGGTCATCTGGTCTTCCAGTCAAGTTGATAGCACTTACTTTCCATGGTTATCTAGAAATTGATTTTTAAGGAATAACCATGGAGAGTAATCTGCATATGTGAAACACTTCTAAGAACATAAATTTATATGTCAGGGTATAACATGAAAAATATTTCACACCTTTTGTTTATACATAAACTTTAAAATCAGACCTATTAAAATTTATGATTCTTTGTCTTAATCACACATGTAAGGTTGTACTATTCAACTGTGCTATATTGGTATATTTTTGCATAATTAGTTGATACAGGCACATTTCTACCTCAAGCATGGGAAGAAAGGTTTTGATGAAATTAGAATTATTATGTGAGGCAATTACTAGAATTGCCCCATGTTTGTATACTGGAGCCAGATACTAACCCAAATGTGAGCTGGCATCGTTCCACTGAAAACAGAGCTGTGCTTGCCAGGAGCCAAAACGGCCTGAGGTATATGTCAAGGTTGTCTGCAGTCTGTTCCTGAAGACCATGGTTGTAGCTCCATGGAGCCCTCTGGTCTGACCAGGAATTCAGTGTTATACCATATGCTCTACTGTGCCCCATAAATGCCTCTGTGGCATTTCTTTGTGGAAGGGAGAGGGGCAGGTGGCATGGAAGATGGCAGCTGGTGTTTCTATCAGAAGTAATTACTGTCTCCACTGCTTGGGCAGTTTTCCAACTTTTTAAACTTAAGAAGTTGTACTTCATGAATAGCTGAATAGAGCCTAGAAATGTATGTAGAATACAGAATTCATACAAATATTTTTATATATGTTTTTCCATATGACCTGTCTACCACTTCTGTAGGGATTGTTGTCTGTTTCAGGATAAAAGCATCACTTTTTAATCAGAAGTGCTTTACTATTGACAGCATGGCTGAGTGGGTAGAAAAAAATCACTTGGAAAAGATAGTTTTCTCATCGTGTTAGTTCAGCTATTGAATGATCTAAGGGTTTTGCTTTTCAAATGGATTGTCTAGAAGAAGTAAGAAAAATAGTAGTAGGAAAGGCATTTCTGCAGATTACCTTCATGTAGTAATTAATTCTGAAAATTGATTGTGCAGCTGTTAAAAGCAATCAAAGCTTCCAACAACATGAGAAGTTTAATTGATCCTTTGTTTTGAGAGTGAAGCAAGCCTATGAATCAGCGAGAGTTGTGTAACATACTTCATATAGTACTTCTAAAAGGGGAGGCTATGTTACTATTATTAGCAGAAATGTAGTTTCATTGCCAGAGCAACAGGCTGGCAGCCAGAAGCCCTATGCTCTTTGGGCTCCATCTGTGCCTACTTTGTTGGGAAAACAACTCTAGAAGTGCTGGTTCAGTTTCCTTTTTGTAAAATTAAATTGTGCAAAGGCTGCTGTTTATTAATTCCTCTGTTTTGAACATGAAAAATTTAAATCATTAAATGTTAATAATACTTAAGCTAGAGTTCAGTCCATTCACTGTCAGAACTGAAGAAAAATTTTCCTTGACATCAGTGAACGTTGAGCAGACACCCATGGTCATCCTGGAGAATACATCTAAGTTCTAGTCAGGATTTTGAGACAATAAATATAAGTTGTAGGACTTACGTTTAAAGATTTAGTAACAGATAAGAACTGAAGTGCAGGTAACCATTTAGTTCAGTGAATGTAGCTGTTCTCCCAGTAGGTTTGAACTTCTTTATCCTCTTCTAAAACTAAGCTAATACGTATGTTAAGCTGGATCTTGTTATCATACTGCTGTCCATTTTCATAGGGCTAATGCCGAAGCAAATTTGCAGATTCGTAGAAGAGAAGGCATTGCATTATTTCTGCATTGGGCATTTTACTCAATAATATATCAGAAGGGTGGATTAATTTGCAGTTATGCTGAATAACATTACTTAATTAATGGTAAAATAAAATAAACAAGGTGTTGACTTGTTTGAACAATTTGTACCTAATGTGTGACTGGCTTCCATCTCTCTTTCACAAGGAATTAGTGAGGTCTACTCTGTGCTGCCACAAATTAGTTGGCTCATGGGCCAGTGCGCTGGTGCAGGCTGTCTGAAAGTGATCTGTATTCCTAGTTCTGTCCAAGATAGCACAGTCATCTGAGATACTAAACTAGACATGGAAAGGATCAGTGACTTTGAACAGCATGTGAAGCCCAACACTTGCTTCATGTTTTCTTGTGTACCTGCACATGGGAAAGGCACTTACGTGAGCCACTGGCCTCCTGAGACATTGGGCCATGCCTATGAGACTCTGGAGAACAAGAAGTACAGGGATAGTGGTGAAGTCTACCAGATTGTACCAGCCTGAACCTCTGAAAACCTGAATTACTCTGAATGGGATCTCAGAGGGCAGCAATTGCTCTACTTCAATGATAGACTGGACAGTGTTGAGGGACCAGTCTAGCCAATCTTCCTTCATACTGGCAATGCAACAGACAAAACCGCAGGAAACTGTGTGTGCTCGTCTCATTGCCTCTTTTGTCAGTATGTCCTGAGTAAACAGCCACCCTTGTTTGCATTTGAAGCAAATCCTGTATCACCAAATCTCAAAGCATGAGCTGACAGTGAGGCTGACCATTGCAAACCTAGCGAGATTCTGGATATGTCTTATGAATGGGTAAAACCCTCACAAGGTCACAGCGTTCATGGTAACGTAATTGCATCTAGGGTTGCATACTGAATACAGTCTGCAGCATGTTATCTCCTTTAGTCTAGTTTTTGCCATTCTTGGTTCCTTGGGAGGAGCATTGCTTACTTAGTATGTAGTAGACTTTATAATGCATATTTACTGCATTACTGCCTCTAAAGAGGTTCATTGTTATTGCCTGTGATAGTTTCAGATTGGTCAGCATTGTTGGTGAATTCAAGCAGTTAACGTAAAGTGGTCATGTTACAGACTAGTAGATACATCAACTTTTTAATAGAAAAATATACATGTAAAGTTCTAGTTCACCTAGCAGCTTTTGCAATAACTACACTACAGAAGGAGTATGTATCTGTTAATAAGTGTCAGCTACATTGTTAATTTCCTGCAGTAAACAGATGCAAACCAAGTGTGTGTCTTGGTGTGATGGTTGTCTTTGCCAGACCTGTTCTTTAGTGTAGAACATATCTGCTAAATTTTTTTTCTAAAAATAGGTCCCAGTCACTAGCCCATACTGTTGCATGGTATTCAAAGGGGGCAGCTGTGTTGCCCAATATGATAGGGAGCACTTCCTAAGCCTCTTTCCTGGTAGTTCTCAGTGCAGTTTTATTACAGAGTAGTTAGGCTACAGAGGGATTGACAGGGAGAGAAGGTAAGTTTTTATTGAAATACTTTGTAGTGGTAACAAATATTCTGTTTGATTCTGTCAGATATTGTCAGGATATTGAAATGCAGCTATCAGAGGAGCAGGAATCCCTGCTGTCTAATACTACAAGCAGAGAAAACAAAATTCATGCTAACTGGGTCTTCTATTATGTTTCAGTGTCGCCCATCCAAAGGCCGAAAAAGAGGTTATTGCTGGTGCGTGGATAAATATGGACAGCCACTTCCTGGGTATGATGGGAAGGGAAAAGGAGATGTCCACTGCTATAACTTGGAAAGCAAATGAGGGCTGAGTGCCAGCTCTTCTGGCATCTGTGCACGGCCACTGGACCTCACAGAGACCTTTGAGGGGCTGGGCAAACACTGTGGGACTGCACTGTGTGTGGAGTAACAAGCTCTGCCTCCTGCAGCACATGGGGAGTTGCAGCCTCTCTGGATGCTGCTGCAGCTGCACCCTGCCACTGACACACATCGAGCTTTCCTATGGGATGTGTAGGGAGCTCTGAATTCCCATGTAAACCTGCACTATTGATACCCAGAGAGAGAAAAACAAAAGGCACTTCAGAATGGAATCAGGGAGTCTCCACTGACTTTTTAAAGAATGGCCTGTGACCAATTTGATCCCAAAAGATACCGGGTTTTTTAAAGATTTTATAGACGTTAAGCTTGTAAAAGTATTAAAAAGAAAAACAAAACCAAAAAAACCACAATGATTTAAAGGTTAAGTTTTTTTACAGGTCTGATGGGAAACTTGTCTTCACGGGTAAAAAGTTTTATAAAAATCTCAAAGAACTTTTTAAAGAAATGTATTTCTAAAATAAAGACATGGCTATTTTTTTTCTGTAAAATATATTATGAATATTCTGTTAGTCTGTATTTAATATAATTGTTTTTTAATAAACTTTATTTAAATGTAACATGTGAATACCAAATATTACACAGTAACTCTAGTGTATACATCTGTATGCAAAGAGAAAGTAAAGTAAGGTTATGGGATGATTTGCAAATATGTATAAATCTGTATGCATACACACTGACCTGTTCTAGGTAAAAGAAATGAATTTTTGAAGCAAAGGAAATGTTTCCAGAAGGGATTGAGTTTTATTATTTGATATAACTACAAATACCAAGATAATATTTTTCTTAATTATTTTATTGATAATTCTAATGTACCCATCACTGAATTATGCCACTGGAAAGGATAACAATCGCACTGAAGCTCTTGGTAAAGCTTTCTTCTGTCTGTACGTTGCTTCAGTTTGTGCAACAGGGCTTACATTTCCTCCATTTACTGCTTACACTCATACAGAATATTCATGGAGAAAAAATTGCTGTTACAGTACTACTCTTTGCATTTGCTTATTTATTTTGAAAAGGTGTATCTATTCTGTGTTGTCTTGGTAGCTTCTGCCAAAGCACTTACTCTGTATGAGGAACTCCTGTTGAAAACAACGTTGACAAGATGGGGTGTTGAGACCCATGCATTTCATTTATGCGACACACAATTGTTGCTTTCTTTGACTATGGTGGAATCATTTGCCTGCATCTAAGCATAGAAAAAGAACCATTTGGTTTAAATAGTTAAACTCACTGTCTGCCATAGTGCTACATGTCTTTTTAATTGGAAGAGAAGTGATTTGGTTTTGTTGTGGTATGTGATGCTTTCACATAAGGAAGGCTTTGGCAGATTTTTTTTTTTTTTTTGAGGCTGATTGTTTAATGTACTTTGTGAAAAATTCTGTATGACAGTGAAATCTGGATAAGGAAAGGTGGCCTATGAAATGTATCATCTCTCTGGAAAAATAATGCCATATTTTGTATATGTATTTATTTATATATTTTATATAAATATTTTATATATTTATATAAATATATATTCTTATATGTCTCACTATAAATGTTTGATATCACTGTAGAAAAAAGAATCCTTCTACACTAATTTCTTGTTGGGTTGGGAACTCCATGAGGACTAAGGACAGTGGGCTTTCAGCTGTTGGAGCTAGGGGTTGTGTTGATGGAGGAGAGCCTGTGGTGCTGAGGAGCCCATTCCTCTCCCACTGCATGAATTAAAACCATCCTTGTTCCTGCCAGCAATGGCAAATGTCTAGAAACTCTGATGTGGAAGGATTTTGGATATGCAGCTTGCCAGGATTGGGGCAACCCATCACCGTAACTCAGACATTTAATGCCTTACCCTGAAATGTGTTAGCTGAACAGCACTATGAGTGTTCACATCTTTTCAACTTCTAATGAAATGAGTCCATATCATCATTAAAACTGAAATTTTATAATTTCTTGGTAAGAAAAAAGTTGTACACGGAGTGATGCTTACTCCAGGCTAATACAGATTTCCTGACACATGGTTACAGAAAGCTTTGTGAGGTGAAGATTTATAGCAATATTTTTTTTGCTAAAGCAGATCTAATGCCTGCAAAGATTTGTTGGCAAAATAATAAATGCTGGGCTTTTTCTTTTTTCTTTTTTTTCTTTTCTTTTTTAGAGTTGTAAACCAGTTCTTTCAAATAATTTCACAGAGAGAAGAAAGTTGTACACACAACAATACTTGGGCATGTAATCATAGATAACAAAATAAGGGTTGGATTAATTTGAGTTATTATTTTGCCTCTTTTTTTAAAATAACTATCTGGTGAGCCTTCTGAAAACAAAAATCAGTTTCTTTTAAGTAATAGCTGCTTTGCAAGGCACATTTTGCAAAGTGCCTTGTATGCATACATTTGTATGTAAGAAGTTTTAACAGCCTGTGACAGGCTTTATGATTCAGGTATTTTGTCAAGTGTTTTAATTTTTTATGGTTTTTTTTCTACCATTAAAATATGTATAAACAAATATAGAAGAAACTGGCTAGCAGAGGTCCTTAAGTCATATATTTTATGAAAAAAAAACCCAAAAAACTACACCTCAAGGAGCTAAACCTGATTTAAGTCTGTCACATGAATACTTAAGGAATGGCGTTCAGCTCCTTTATTAGTACTAACAGTCTTTAGTTATGTTACAGAGAAAACATACAGCCATAAGGGGGAAAAAAAAAAAATCTGTGTATAAATCACTTTTGTTATTTTGCTTCCAACAGATGTTTTTAAAACAGAAATTGTGTTTAAAAATAGCCCCAAAAATAAAGTCTCACCTGTAATTTAAAGTGTCCTTTTCAGAAGTTGCCTATTAAATATTTTTTACAAGCACAGTTGCTTGCAGTATTGGATACTTGCCACTGTCAGTCTGATGTCCCTGCCGGTTGACACTGGTATGAAATGCAAAACAACATTATTATCTGTCTCAAAAAAAAGAACTTTTTTTTAAATGAAAGAATCAGTAGTGGCTTTTTCCTTTTTTTTTTTTTTTTTTAAGCATTCCTATTCCTGTGAAGACAAGGATCCAATTCAATAGACAAAAATACTTGTGATTAAAAGATTTTTCTCATGGCTAAGGGCTGCAATTCAAACAAATATATGTATTTGTGGTCTGCACCCAAGCAGCAGAATGTGGGCAGCACAAAGTAAATGTATGGGACAGTATCAGTTCAGAGGAAGACAAGTTACCTCCAAGTACAGGTTAGAAATTATTCCTGCTAAGAGCTGCAGTGAGTGGAGAACTTTGGGTTTGATGACAGAAATTAAACAAATGCATTCGAAAAATCCCTTATGTCTTGGTGCCTTCACTGTCGTCAGCTTCAGTATTTTATTAAGTGGACTTCTTCAGCTTTTTTCTAGTTTTTAATAAGCTCTTTCGAGAAATTAAGGTGGTCTGAGTAAAAATTAAGAAGCCTCAGAAAAAAAAAATTATAACTTATAATGTTATTAACACCTCAAATATTTGCATGGCAAGGCATTATAAAACATAAAAATACGTGTTGCAAAACTTACTGATTTCTTCTTGAGCATGTTTTGTCTCTAGATAGTACATGGGTACCATATGTAGCCCAGATGAATGTTGTAAGTATTTATTTTAACAAGTGTGATAAATAGCTGCATATATTGACCATAAAATTGACCAGAATACAGGTTAAAGCTGCCTGTGGGCAGCTCTAATATCTTACGAACTCTGAGAAGAGTTCCATTTTTAATGGATCTACTGTGCTATAGTTTTTGGAGCTCAGAATATGCTTTTCCTCCTTTTTGACATGCCTGCCTTTCATGGCATAGTGTTAGCTATTTGTGCATGAGGAAAGGAGGCTTCACTGAGTACCAAAAACATGGAACAAATTCATTTTTAGTACAGTCTGGACTTTTTATGACTGAATTCCGTAGAAACCCTACACAGCATAATTCCTTATTGAACTGAGCCCTAAATTTAAGTAGTGGTTTTTCAAACTATTTGGGAAATCACCTTTATGTATCTCTGGTCACTAAAACTGTGTAAGCAAGGATGCCTCCACAGAGATTTCACATATTAGCAATAGGAATTTTATTTAAAGTATGAAAAGTACTGATCAAGTTTCCTGGATGCTAAAGCATATTAGTATACAAAATGAAATGTTTGTATATGTAGCTGTTTCTCTCTGTGGTCCTGCTGTGCCTTTAGAAATCCTTCAATCTATTAATTTCTACCAGAAGAATATGCTTGCTTTCCTTATTTAGGCAGAATTCCTTTCTCTTTCCCAGCTCCCACTTTTTTTTCCTTTTTTTCTCTTTTCTTTTTCTTTTCTTTTCTTTTCTTTTCTTTTCTTTTCTTTTCTTTTCTTTTCTTTTCTTTTCTTTTCTTTTTTTTTTCTTTTTCTTTTTCTTTTTCTTTTTCTTTTTCTTTTTCTTTTTCTTTTTCTTTTTCTTTTTCTTTTTCTTTTTCTTTTTCTTTTTCTTTTTCTTTTTCTTTTTCTTTTTCTTTTTCTTTTTCTTTTTCTTTTTCTTTTTCTTTTTCTTTTTCTTTTTCTTTTTCTTTTTCTTTTTCTTTTTCTTTTTCTTTTTCTTTTTCTTTTTCTTTTTCTTTTTCTTTTTCTTTTCAAAAATAAGATCCAAAAAGGATATCAGAGTATTCCAAGGACAAGATTTCTGTGATCAGTAACAGTAATGGCTTCATTTGCAAGCATGCAAAATGGGTTCAAGGCCTTTAGAAGAGAAGTCTCTTAGTATGTCCTGTGGACTTGGGTATCTTCTTCTAACTAGAACATATTTAGCCATTTGGTTTTGGAGTTTCCATCCTTGGAGATACTCAAAAGCCATCTGGACATGGTCCCAGGAAATCATTCCCTGGTGGCCCTGCTTGTGCACCAGGTCACTTGTAGAGATCCCTTCCAGCCTCAATCATCCTTAGAGCCTAGGGCATATGAGCCTATCAATAGTAGTTCGGTCTCCCAAGTTCCAGCATGTGAGATTGTCTACATTATGCAGTGTATTGATTCAGAAGCTGTTACAACTTCTCTTGCCCAAAAGAAAAACTTTGGGTAAAATGGCAAGTAGTACAAATCTGTTGCTCACCAGAAGCTTTAGTTTTAAAACTCTGCATTTTATTTACTTCTTCCAGCTCAGATTTTGCAGAAGTAGAAGCATATATACTAGCCTTAGAGAAAGTCCCATTGAAAAAAAAAACTTTTCTTTTACCCTGTACATATATTAAAAAATGCAAATGACTTCAAGGCAGAATATTGCTGCTGAAAAAATAAAATGGAGACCAGGTATTAGCAAAAGCAGAGGGTAATGCTGCAAATCTCAGTTTATCCTTGCAGAATTCATGTCCTGCTGCTGTAAGCATCCTGGCTTTGCACTTCTGCTGACCTATCCAAATTCCTTAAGAGCCTTTCTCTGTCAAGGCTAATTTTACCCGACGGCTCTCTCCATGAGTGGGGATGGAAAGAAAGGTAGCAAAATTATCTCTGCAGAAGGGAGCTGAGGTTTCATGCAGAAAAACCACCTAATCTGAAAAGCTCTAAAGAAAATGTCATTGAGAAGGACTGCTTCCCATAGCCATTCGTGGTAATTCCTTCCAAAAGTGGAGTAATGGAGGGGACTTTCTTACAAGAGCCAGGCTGAGAGTGCATTTCCCTCACTCCTTGCAAGTGGAGAGCAGAGGCTATTTTTGCCTGCTTATGCTGTATCGAGAATATTCAAGGTGAAACTTGTTTCCTGTGTCTCCTACGTATCATGTAATTTGCACTCCGTAAAAAGGACCTAACTGAGCTTGGAAAGTTGATTATTGTTTTAGCACAGGGATGGTGCACACAACCTTCAGCCCTCAGATCCTGCCATACATTTTTACAGCTGCTATTACCAAGCTACCAGTAATATGTTTCTGATCTTCTTTTTTCTTCCCTTGCTGGGGCTAAATGGTAATGACTCAGCTGCCAAAGCAGCAATAAACAGAAACTGCAGGCAAAGAAAAAATATGAAAGAAGATGATTATTATTATAGCCACTATTTGCTCTAGGCCTCCACAGACATCCCACACTAAGATCCTTTTCCAAAGAACCTCAGCATCTCCACATCAGCCTGGTGAACTACAAAGCACTGTCAGTGAGAGAGACAGAAAAAAAAAAATCACCTGTCACCATTTGCATAATTATGCAATTAAAAGCCTTGGTATAGGCGCAAATAGGCTGCTCTTTGTTAGCTTTTGTCTTGGTTGGAGGAGACTGAGAGCAAGATGAAGACTGCAGCACACAGGCTCTGCTAGAAGAGCTGTGCTGTTGGTCAGGCACTGTCCCAGATGGAAAACGTGGCTGGTAAGGAAACAGCAAGGAGCCAAGCATGTGCACAGCCCTTGCCTTCCCTTGTGTGTGCCCTTGTCTCTGCTGGGCTGCCCATGCTGCCTCTCAGACTTGATAATCTAAGAGGGAGTCTGGAAAGATGAGCAGAAACTTTTTTCAGAATGAAACAGGCATGATACATGTTCATGATTCCATCTGGAATGGACTAAGCTTAAATTTATTCATTTAACCTTCCTGCAACATCCACGAGCACCCTTGCTCCCACATCTTTCTCATGGGATGCTGCCCCTCTCCCTGCACCCTCACAGTAGCTTCCTTGCAGATTAACTTTGCTCTCTGGGGGTGGTTGTAAGCCAAGGCAGGAGAAAAATAGGGAAAATAAAGCCTTTGTTTGTTGGCAGAGCTATCAAAGTTATTTTCATTATTTAGAGTGCAAGCACTGGTATGTCTGGACTCCTGCTCCACTGCTGGTTTTTTGGTACTTACTGGTGATACAGAACGAAGCAGTTGTATTCCCAACAGATCCTTCTCCTTCTTTGTCCCCTCGCCCCTTTAACCTTAAAAATGACTAGGTAATATAGGGTGGCATGTCAGTAAGAGAAGCCTTCCACTTGCACCAACTCTGCTACTGTTACTCAGTATACACCACCTACCCAAATCTCAAAGGGTCAAATAAACACAATTAGGTGTTTGTTGAGATGCTCACAGCCCACTTTCATGTGCAGTCTGGATACCTGCCCAGTTCTCAATGCAACGTACAGCAACAATTGATCCATAAATGCAAAATGTGCTGGCAAACAGAAAACATGAGACCTGTCTTCAGTGCAGCCTGGGGAGACTGTTTAGGCTGGTGGTTTATCAGTGGAGTGATAGCCTAGGAAAAGTAGACCAACTTTAAAAGTTGTTGTCTAAAGATACATATGGAACTTGACCCCTCAATTTGCAGTATGATCAGATAGTCTAGCTTGGAAAGAATAGTTTGGATCTTTTTTTTAAAGGCATTTTTTATTATTTTATTTTTAGTGTATTATTATTAATTATTATTATTATGGGTTGAACAGGGGTTAGACATTAGTACTGTTCTGCAATAGCAAAGCAATGATGTGTGTAGAAAAATAACATAATTCTGAAAACTCATTGCTGCTAGACTTTATTAGACTATTTACTAGACTGCTGGTAAAGCACAAGCATTTTTTTTTACTTCTGACTTTGGAGAAAAAAACCTGTGTTAGCTCTGTTTTAGCATTTTTTTTAGGGTTCCCTTGTAATACCTAGTGCTATGGGAGTTGAGTGCTTTCCAGAAATGGAGTAAATCCTGTGACAAGTCTCTGCCATGTGCCATTCCTTTTCATCCCACTTTTCTTCTCCCTGAGGAAAGAAAACTATATATGATGCATTTTCCATTTACCTTTTAATTTTTGTCTGTGTTTAAGACTCACATTAGCAAGTGCAAGATCAAAGAAACACATTTGTTTGTAAAGTAAAAGGCTCAGTTTTCATGTGCTTAATATCTAATTGCATTTTGGACTGGGTCTGCAGGAAGTTGTGCCCTGACTTAAGTTTTTTGTTTCCAAAGCATGTGTTCTTATGGTAGAGAAGTGACAGAGATGCTGATGAACTTTCACTGTTAGGGTTGGCTGCCTTTCACCATCATTTTCTGTCTCTCCTCCTTTCTCTCCCCTCACTTTCTGCCAGCTCTAGCTGACA